GGAAGCAAGGTTCCCACGCCGCCTGATGCTGTAATCGTCTGCTCAGGTCTTGGGGCTCGGTTTTTGGTGGGAATTGAAGACAAGGACTGCTACCCGATCCGCGGGCAGATCTTGTTAATTAGGGCGCCGTGGATTAGGTTTGGTAGGACAATCAGCACGAAGGAAGGGCTTTGGACCTATATCATACCGAGAAGAAGTGGTGATGTAAGTGCCTTCCGGGTATTTCAGGCGACTCCGTTACCGACTAGCAAATTTAATTTATAGGTCATTGTAGGTGGTACGAAGATCGACAATGATTGGTATGTTCCACAATATTTGTTGCACGTGCGGACGTGGATTTGATGGTCGTTTTAGGTACCCCAATCCACGGCCCGAAACCTCTGAAGACGTTCTTGAGCGCGCGTTTGCACTATGCCCGGAGCTCGCACCGCCAGAGATCCGCGCACAACGGGCACCTACAATTGATGATGTCCGGTCAATCATCATTTCAGAGGGGTGTGGTTTGAGACCCGGAAGGAAGGGAGGCATACGGCTTGATGTCCGATGGACAGAAAACAACGGAAAGAAAGTTCCTCTCGTCAGCAACTATGGGTCAGTGATATGCCGATTGTTTCTCTGACTTATTAGAAGCTTAATCCCGCATGACCTTAGACACGGTGGCCAGGGATTCCAATCGTCGTGGGGGTCTGCATTTACTGCTACGGAGCTTCTGGAAAACGCGTTGAAGGATATAAATGTTGAAGTATATTGATTGTGAAAGTATCAAGGGTCCGAAGACCTAAAAGTAAAAGAATTCGAAATCGGTTTGAACGAAGTGCCTAACATGATGCCGCGGCCGGATCTTGGTTTTGCTTTAGTTGGAAGCATGCGCTTTTCTCTATCTTGTCGAAGTATATCATGGCCTCTCAGACTACCGACTACAAGAAGGACATCGTTGTGATCGGTGCAGGTAAGTAAGCCTCGTCGGTCGCTGTTTTGATTGACGTTAACCCGCTTCTTAGGTGTGATTGGTCTGACGACTGCTCTGCGGATACAAGAAACCGGGAAATACCATGTCACCATTATCGCGGAGACATTACCAAGCGATCCGTTGACCATCAGATACACAAGCCAATGGGCGGTAGGTACTGCATTTCATTAGTAGTCATGCGAGGTGCGATCCTATGCTAGGGAGCCATACATTCCGGTAGCTCTCAAGCTTATGTCGACGACGCACATCCGAAACAATCAGGTCGGTCTTACTTTTCGAGATATAAGCCTGACGTAAACACTCACTGCACAATGCGTTCAAGAAATTGATAATGAAACGTTCAAGATCATGTGGGATCTATCTGCGCCAGGCAGTGAAGCTGAGAGATGCTTCAAGCGGCTTACGAAGAAGTCATACTACGGTGAATTAAGACCAAAACCACACCCCTTAGAGTCTATGCCAGATGTACACTTCTACTCTTATTATCTTCGAATCTATGCATATCTAACTCACCCCAATAGTTTCGATACATAGATCCTGGAGAGCTTCCCGAAGGATTTGTTGAGGGCGTGTCATTCAGCACCTTCTCGATTGATGTGCCGATATACCTCAATTATTTACTATCTCGATTTCTTGCACATGGGGGTGCTATAGTACGTGGGCAAGTCCAGCATGTGTCCCAAGTCATGGAAGGTGGTGTGGGCCCATTGACCGGTGCGAAGAACTCAAGTAAACCGGCCGCGGTTGTCGCATGCGTTGGCCTTGGAGCGAGGTTCCTGGGTGGAGTGGAGGATAAAGATGTGATCCCGATTCGTGGGCAGACCATCTTGTTGAGGGCGCCGTGGGTAGATGAATGTGTTCATACCTACGACGGGCCGTTGAGTTATGTCATCCCCAGACGTAGCGGTGACGTTGTTATCGGAGGGACATTCGTAAAGGATGATTGGTACCTAGGTGCGCGTCTAGAAACGAGCAAAGAGATATTGGAACGTATTCTCAAGATATATCCGAAAATCGCACCCCCAGAAGTACGGGCAGTTAGGGAACCGAGGGTGGAAGATATAGAGCCTATTTTCATCGAAGATCGATGTGGTTTGAGACCGGGAAGGAGGCAAGGCATTCGGATTGATGTGGACTCGAATGGGGCTGTTCTTTTGGTGTTGAATTATGGGTAAGGTTTATTTCTTATTGATCCTTCTGTGGACTTGTCCTAACGCGCTCGACGACGCAGGCATGGCGGATATGGGTATATGTCTTCCTGGGGATCGGCAAGTTTAGCGCTCAGATTATTAGAGAACGTATCAGACAAGAAGAGACAACTTTTGGAAAGCTTGGCCACGTAGTAATCGGGCGCGTTCAATAGATTCGATCCTACTTTGTAACAATTTCACCTGATACGTATTGCCTTGGACAATACTTATTGTCAAGTCCATTGCATAAACAGTACTGTGCGCAGCACTCAATCGGCCTTAGATGTCATCCACCATATACCTTTGATTCCGGTGTCAAGGAATTCACGCCCCCCGACGTCAGCAAACGCGATCTATACAACTCAAAGATCGACGTCTTAAAACTTGTGGCAGTTGCCCACGTACGAGTCTTCATTTAGATATGTAAAATTATGCGCATCCCATCAGATACTAGTTCCATATAGTTGGAAAAGAAAGGTTAGACGTGACCAGCAGGGCCGGCGGTGATGATGCATGAGGCAGAAGTGTCTTGGCCGTTCTCCTAGGCCGTCCTGCTGACTCGTACGAAACTTACGTCAAATTTACAGAAAGAAGAGGCAGACTTTTGGCAAGTTTATGGATGAACGGCAAGATGTTCGTGCTGTAGGTATCAATTATATTTTAAGCATACCGTAACCGGACCTTGTACTCAAGGGTGATACTCAGCCTTCAACTCGGCAAAACCAAGGCGTGGCTGCAAGTCGTCCGATATCTCCCAGCCACCCAGATCCCACACCGTATAAAAGTTGCGAATCAGTTGCATACCAACGAGCCATCCATTTCCAGAGGACCTAAACAGCTCGTCAATGCGAGAACTAGACCAAAGGTTTTGGGAAGATCCTTACGGCTCGAACATGGGCCAACAGTACTGCTCCTCTGTATATCCCGGCATAATCAGGTCTGCAGGACGGATGGTGATCGTACCCTCCGGAAGCGTCATGGTCATGTTAAAGTCCAATTTTCGAAAATCCTCGCATAATGGTCGACCACCCTGCTTGATGAAGGTGTAGTTCATTCCAATGCTTGCGTAGATGTCTTCGATGTAAGCCTCCGGCACGGTTATCTTGGACGCGCCAGTGTCCCAGACCGCATAACTCTGCACATATATGGTATTAGCCTGTGTGCTCCCATTCGTATTCAAGCTGAAGTCGACACGGTCGATATAGGTGGACCAATAAATGAGTTCATTGTTGTAGTTGCTGTAGCGTTGGACGTTGAAGTATGTCACGTCCGTGCTATTGTACTCCATGGAGTGGCCGCCAAATTGGACGACACCGTTGTTTGGGGACAGGCCTTGTCCCGCATAAATGGCGAATTCATGCGCCTCGAGGGTCTCTGGATTGAAAAGACTCTCAAGGAGGGAGGCATGGACGGTATCCCTACGCCGCTGTGAGTAAACTTCGCCATGGTTATTGACTAAAATACGTACTCGGCGCGAGGAAAAGCCAAGCCAAGCATTCCGTCCGCGTCGAGCCATACCCAATTGGAGTAGTTGGCAAGAAGGGCTCGCGCGGAGACTCCGGTCGAAGTGTTCGCAATGGACAATAAATCAGTGAATACCGTGCTATCCTCCAAGTGAGCACAATGATGATCATTCAAAGAGAAACGTACCCGGAAACGGCGCCCCCGAGATAGTTAATGTCGAGAGGTTCTCCCGTGGCATTATAGGTCGAGGATTCAGATGGGATATAAGCCGTACGGTTGGCGTCTGAAATCGAGCATGATTCTATACATGACTGGTTCAGGACCCATGTAGGGTCTGAGCCTGTGTCAAGCCAGAGATTGAACTCTCGGGGAGGTGTACCCAGCCTAGTAGAATACAATGGCATCAAGTCGACCTCCTGAACACTAGAAAAAAGAACTCACGAAATGGGTATCGTTCGATAGCCCTGCTCAGTTATACTGATGGGCACCGTAAAAGTGGTGGGCCTATACGTAGGGTAAGAAAAGTTTGTTGGTGTTTGAATGGCTGCATTATGCCATACCTTTCTTGACAGAACGCACCGCCCAAAGTTAATAGCAACCACACCGTGTAAATAAGAGACATTTTTGAGAGAAAGCTTGAGTCTAAGCGGTCATTTTATACCGCGCTCTTCGCGCGACCTCGCGGTTGTTCCGTTGGCCCGACTTTCCGAAAAATTTCCGGCACTGAAAGCGTAGAGACATGGCCGAGATTCATGAAGAAGACATAGTTGAGCTGGGCATGTTTGACGCTCAATTTTCAGATAGATGACGAGAAGAGCAATCACCGCCGGTAGGCTATGAGTCATGATTATTTACGAGAACGCTGATTGTCCTGCCAGTGATTATGCATGTCCAACATACAGCTGGCAACTTTTCCGCATAAAATACAGGAGTACATGGTCAGTGAAACCGTCGCACAGTCGACTTCAAGGACTCAAGGAGGGAGAATACATAGTTACGAGGCAGGTGCCAGATTTGAGAAAATGGCGGCATCATCCGTTCCCACGATTGTTGCCCGTGCAACAATGTGCTATTTCACGTGTCGCTGAGCATTTCATGGATGAAAAACACAACTCTGCTTATATATACAAGAATAAGACGCGTGGACTCTTGATCAGAAACATTCTTTCTGGCCACTCCTTTCCATGCCTAAATTTGTGATTTGAAAATGAATACATGGCTCGGAGATTGCCCCAATTCTTGCCTCCAAGGTCTTACCATTTTCGAAATCGTACCAGCTTTAGCAGTTACCGCTCAGTAGCGCTACTTCCAGTCTGCTCAAAAAGACTATCTGACGGTCTGAATCTGACCGTCGTGAAAACGGAGTACAAAAGCTATGAGTCGACCCAGGTTCGAACTGAGGACCTTCTGTGAAGATTATTACATAAATAATTATGTTAGACAGATGCGATAACCAGCTACGCCATCGACCCTTACGGACTTGCAGTTACATAATTAATCAGAACAAATATGGATAAAACCATTGTCTTTTCTCACGGCGTAGGCGCCGTAGGTGATTCCATCTTTACACTCGGTCTTATACTTACATACGTATTCGGGTGCTCTGCTGCGTCTTTCTGTGTTACTTTTTGCGAAACTCCACGAAGAATTTCATTGTTTGAGTCGCAATGAGGATGTGACATTCCGCGTCGAACGTCCGTGTGTGAGCATAGATCTATGAGAAGAGAAGAAGAACTCGTTGCTACGTAGTAGGGTAATAAAGAAGTATAGCATTGCTACCGGAGTGGCCTGGCGAATCTAGCCGGACACTGCTGACAATTGTGAGGATCGATTTTCGCATGGCACGGTAGCTTTGTTGGAAGTGCTTTATATCTCTGTTCGTGGACCATTGTTGCCTTGCTTCATCTATTTACTTGCCACTGATTCTGTTTGTTCATATTCGAGTTGGAGCATCAGCATCTTGCTTGTGAATCATGTACTAGGTTAATTGTTATAGATCAGGCAGTAAAGTGGTGCGATCTGGGCTATAGCCGTGATGCTTGACATCGCGAGAAGCGCGTGTCATTCAATACAGATAGGCGCCATACGGATCTTCAGTGATTGAATGCTGTTCTTCTCTACTACCGTTGGTATGCGCCTCATACGGTCTTCACACCAATGAGGCGGACGTTTAACTCGACATAGCCCCGTCCTCGCAGTACTCAGATCTTGCGTCTGGACTTTCTTACCTTGTCGTTATGTTCATCCCTGACAAGCGGTAGCTAATATTTGATGCTTGTCAGGGATACGGAATTCATTCGGCTCCATCTAAGCGCTACAATTCATTTCTCTAAGCGCCGCGCGCTTATCAGAATTATTATTATCCTCGAAATCATTGGACGATACAGAAAGCGCGTGAAGACAGCTGACCAGGCTGTAGTCGTATATGAGTCGTTGAATAATCGGTTGCAAGATCATAAACCCCATCTGTTCGACTACTACACCAGTGACAAGATCATGCGTCTCTCTCGAGCTTTTGCGTTTCTTGCCACATCCCTGGCCCTTGCGCCTCAGGTCCATGCAGGTCCCATCGCGTATGGTATTTGCCAAACTGGTAGGTAACAAAGGTGGCATCTGTGAGCGCTATCTGATCGTCCGAGATGTATAGGCTGTAATACCGTGGTGGTAGCGTGCTATGCGGCTGCTGGATTCACGTTTGGAACAGTTATCGCAGCGCCAGCAGCCCCTGCTGTTGTTATCGCTTGCAATGCTGCGTTGGGAACGTGCGTAATTTCATCTTTAAGATCGATATTGCACTTACATGCTTGTACAGATGCTCTGCTGCCTGCGCTACTGTAGCTCTTTTTGCTCCGACTCCGTGAAGAATATATCCGTAAATTGAGGGTATCATAGGGTGTGATGTTCGTTGAGCAATGAGGATCCTACATATGTATCGTTCCGTGATCAAAGTCCGCATGTCTGTACATTGAGAGAGAGAGAAAGGAAAAGTCCATCTAAGTAAAAGAGATCCAACATTCTTCATTATCGTTATTACCAGCCCTCCGAGCCAGCACCGACAGAGCTGTTCTATACGAGTGTGATCAGCCTAAGGGCGTCAGTAAAGGGAGAGGAGCTTACCGTCTGGTCCTGTCGCTTGGCTTCTGAATACACGAAAATCAAAATGAGAAACACCTCATCTTTCGCAAGTCCCTCCCGCGTGAGCTCAAGCGTGGTCGGTGTGGGCTTGGAGAACACATGGGGTCGAAAAGGAACAGCGAAAGTTCCGGCGACCTCGTCATTTGGAAGAATAGCCTACACGACATGTAACGCTGGCAGACACAGTGAACAATACGCGCACCTTCCAATCTTCATAGTTATATCTTAATGAGTACTCGGTTCTACCTTCTTCCCATTTCCAGAATCTGCATCTGTGAAGCAGAAAACATATAAGAAAGAGACATATTGCTTCTAGTGAATGACTTACTTGCGAAAGGGTTTGCCTGCATGTCTCTTGATATCGGAGAATTTCTTCTTGTGTCCCAGGACTTCCATAATCCTGTCTTGCCAGTGTATTGCTCCAACGGTCACTACGCCGCCCGGCCCTGGATTGGCGTCTTGAAGAATGGTCAAGTACCGTCCACGAAAGTTGAAGGTCGTCTTCAAGGTGTACAGCACGGATGAATCTACAGAGGAGCGAATTTGTGCATTCACGACATTGTTCTTGTTGTCGAAGAAGGCTTCCATATCGTACGGCGCATAGGGTAGTAGTTCGGAGGCAAACGCACAATAAATAAATACATATGGACCCACATTAGAACGGAATTTGCACGTGTTTACCAAGGGAGGCATCAGCCATAACCGGCAGAAAAGTTCTGAACTTCTTCCTTGCCTACTACTGCACTGCATTCGATATCGACTTGACGTCGCTTGACGCTGCCAGAGGCAGCACGGGAGGCTCTGACGTGTTGGGAGGATTGGTATACCCGCAATTGACGAAATGAGGATGTCCGAAGGAATCCAGATTACGATTCCAGGTGCGTTTTGCTTGATTATTGTTCTGCAGGTAATTTACTGGAATCCTCAATAGATTTTGAGGATGACGACTACAACTCCTCGACAATCCCTTTCGGTCGGTCTGCTGGGAACCAGTTTGGATTCGGAGGAGGATTTGGGGCGAGCTCGAATGGTTCAGGCCAGGATTCACCTACGCTAATGACTCCGACCGCGGACAACAGAAGTTACTTCAATTCCCATGCTAGAGGTGACTCTGTCACGTCTGTCGACTCCACGAATTCTGCTACTGCACGGTATCCCAATAGGTCCCAGACCTCTTTTGTCCATTCGTCACATTCCTCCATCGCGGCTTCCAGCTCTTCCAGCTTTCCCAAAAAGTCTTCCTTTGCTTCCTTGAGGAATGCTTTCAAGAGCGGTAAGAACACGGAACTACCCCCCGTACCGTCTCTTGACTATCAGTCTAATTCCGTGCTGAAGAACGCTTTCAACCGCTCCACGTCTTCCCTCAACAATGTTTCGCCGATGCCAACCTCTGCAAAGGGTATACCACCCGCTATGAGCCCCCAGTTTGGTAGACCAGCTACCCCTGCTTCTGCCGAACCTAGATACATGCGTGGTTTGCCGTCTGCTAGATCCAAAAGCCATTCCTACGCCAAATCGTATCATTCTCAGTCCGGCTCCATATTCCATATATCTGATACTGGTAGCGATGGGCATGGGCAGTTTTCATCCTCCCCTCCACCGGTGCCGCGGTTCCCAAATGGCATGGTTCGCTCAGAGACGCCAGATTTTGAAGAAGACAAGGTAGTCATGGATCCTAAGACGCCTTCAGACTTTGCACTACACGCAGTCTTCATCCGGTTTGCTAGCCTGGCTGAAGGAAAAATTGATACGTTTCTACGGCAAATTTTGGTGCGCCATGATTACTCGGTGGTACTTTTTGATTCTAAATCGATCGTAGGAACAAGAACCTTTGCTGACCCATTTCATGGGGCCTGGTGTCGATTCAACGTTCGACGAAATTTTAAACTCTCTAGGCAAGATTGCACAGAAGCATGCAAAGCCTGTCGTTGACTCCGTTATGCGATGGCGAAAAAGTCAAGTGGAAAATGTTGGATCGGACATAATCAGGTTTCACATGGCTCAGTCTCCTCCTGGCGCCGTTCGCACTGTGCGCACGACGGACGTCCCTGCCCTGCTCAACGAGCGCAAGTCACTGGCAGCGATTTATATCATGTGCCGTGCTCTAATCGCAGTGCTACAATCGTTACCGAAAGATGGACTAGGAGAGGCCCTAGGCTATAGTCTGGAGAAGACCACTTTCGAAGAGTTCAAGAAACCGGACCTCAAGCTTCTATTGCAGTCTGCGAATCATCGTACTAATGCAGAATTATATGCCACTATGTTGGGGCATTTGGCCAACGTCAGGTGAGCAATTGGTTACGCTGTTATTGAGCTCAGAACCAACGTCCTTTTCACGAAAAGATTTATGAGCATTACAGATCGGTTCCTTTCGGAACTGGCGCCGGTCGCTCAGGGCCAAGTTACCAAAGATGACATGAAATTTGAGAATCTTGTCAAAGCTATCAAGCACGTGCAATTGAAGGTAGATCGCTTCGCTTTCCCTAAAGGTCAGAGCCTCACAGGAATTCTCTAGGTTTGGCCTCCGGAGGATTTTGAAGAAGGTGCTGAGTTTTTGGAGTCTTTCGCGAAATCCTTTGCCCACGCCCACGGTTTCAAATTAAAGTCTGCATTCGCTGAGACTCTGGTACAAATCTTGCATCCAATAGGAAAGGTACGGCTAATCATAGGATCGGCAGAACTCAATCTCAAAATGCAATCTATAGACTGCTCAAGCTGAAACTAACAATCCCATGTGGGCCAAGGCGATCGAGATTATCTATCCAAAAGCAAGAGAGATGATGTCAAAACCGCGGTATTGGAACGTCGCGTTTCCTCTGGTAATCACTAGTTTATGTGTTGCTCCAGAAAATTACTTCCGGAAGCATTGGGTGTCGTGCTTTGAATCAAGCTTATCCAAGCTCAAGGTACGATTAGGCCTCTTTCAATCTGTCATTCATTATCTAAATATTTTGCAGGAGAAGTCTCTTCGGGTTCCAATCATGAATGGCGTCATCCGCTTGATGTGGACATACCTCTATCGATGCCAAGAATCCGCTTCCACGACTACCTCCAAGTTGGATAATCTACTCAAACACTTTTTCCCACCTAATCGGCTTACTGTTTTTCCTCCTCAAGACGATGGCGTTGAACCATTGATATACATCACCCACTTCATCTTGTCGCGACATTTTGATTACGGGAGAGACCTCTGCCTTGAACTTCTCCAAGAATCCGCTATCAATTCCACTAATCTTTCCGGAGGCAATGTCGCAAATGTCGTAGCATATGAGCGGATGACTGTTGCCATTCAAGCAATCATCCTGTCTTTCAGACTTATCGAGACAGAAGCCTCTGC